GGGGGGGGGGGGGATACCGACGCGACGAGGGGGGGACGCAGAATCATTTCCTCCGCCGAGTGCTTTCGATTCTTCCAGCGAGGTGCAGCGATCCTTCCCATCGTAGATATGCTTCGTGCTACTGCTTCCTCTGCGATATATCATGGTAATCTTTGTGAACCGCATGGGAAAGCACTCTGACCGAGTGTTTAATCCCCCTTCCTTGTCTTGTACCGCTCGTTGTCGTTGATCCAGCCGAGATTTTGTGTCTATGTAAATAGTTCGTGAACAAGATAAAGTTCTACCCGAACAACGAGAACCAATTTTAGAATTTACATGCCGTTTAGCTCCCGTGCGGTATGTACGGTTTAACTAAGTCCGGCCGGAGCCACCGAACCTTTTGAGATTTCGGAGCAACAACTTTCGAAACACTCCTTTGAGCCCAGTCTCCGCCAGCGACTGCTGCCAACACTGCACAACACGTCCTATTATGTCGATCTTGTCACTTGCGAACACACGTCTATTTTACTGCTCGTTGTTCTTCCAAATGGTGAGGAGCAGTCAGTGCTCAACTCTGCTATTTACACATACCGGAGTTTGAATCGGAAGTCTGGCTTAGCTGTGTGGCTCCACCATCATCGCAAACGCCACAGCGAGTGTGTACGACGCACAACCACCTGCAATGAGAGAATACCAGGCCTTACAAGACGTCCAACCGCGGTCAAATACCCCGTCTTCTGGACAAATTCCACCAGCAGCACTGACCATGTTCGTTGCTGCGTCTCTGCTCGGATTTGGTTCCTCAGCCACAGCAGTGACGCTCGAAAGACTCTTCACTCGCATCTCCAACCGCTTCGAGCTTGCTTCCCTGTCCACCATGTTGTCTCTTGCTGTGTTCGCTCTACAGCAGTAGGTCGACCTCAGCAGCAGGCACTCAGAAGGCCTGAGGGGACGCTCGCTGGTCTGTCTCCCCGTCAAAACGCTCCGGGCTTGCCTCTTCGGTCGAGGGGGTTCCGGACAGATGGTGTTTCCGGGATCAAACGGGGAGGAGCAAAAGAAAATGTACGGTGCACGAGCCGCCTTCACCGGGTGTCCCTTGGCGTTTGTGTTCGTGCGCGCGTGTGTGCTGTGCGGCCAACGCGCTACTCGCCTTATTTCAGAATTTGCGCTCTCGGGGCAAATATGCGGCGTAATTCAGAAAATAGAAAATGCGTCCAGCGAGCCAGCGATAGCCAGAGAGCCAGCGAGAGAGTAGTTTCAGCCACAACTCGCCGCATTCTCCCTCTGGTAAGCATTCGGCACACGCAAGACGGCGAGCTGAAGGAGACTTGGCGGCGCTATAAACAACACGGAGATTCACGGGGGGGGGAAAGCGATGGACTTGGCAACGTTCTACTTTGTGTGCGTGATCGCGTTCAACATAGCTGTGTTCAACGAGCTCGCGTGGGGTGAGTGTTACAGCAGTGCGTGGCTGCTTCCAACCGCAAGTGATAGACTACACCAGCAATAGTCTACGTGTAGAGCACGAGGGGTATAGTGCGCGCAGAGGGGGTAGCGCATGCATCTCGGAACTGGGAGCTGCAATGCTTCAACCGAAGAGCACTTGTTCACCGTTGTTGTTTCCCCACCCTCCGGGGCTATCATCTTTTTCTTGACAAATGCAACTCAGTGAAGTACATTTATGCAACTGCTGTCAAACGCGAACAATTATTTTCTCTTTGTATTTGTATTGACTTCCATTTCCCCCCACCTTACCCCCCGCCAGGTCTCTGGAGGCCCCTACGAACAAATCAATAGGTTGCGAGCAGTACTTCTCCGTGCACGAGCGGAAACAGACACGCATTACAACAAATGAACGAACTTTCACAACCGTTGTCTAGCTAAATTCCGTACCGGTCCAACTGCCGCGGACGCCGTCCGTGCTGACAGGCCGTCTCCGCCCGAAACGAGGACCGCCTACGCAGGATTGTATGAACATCTAGAAAAATAATAGGGAGGGGGAACGCAGAACCTATCCCTAACCCTAACCCTAACCCCAAAACACGGATTGAATACTTCATCCCATATGTTTGTTCAATCAATTTTGCTGCGTAGACTAGTGAAAACGTACCACATACGTTTGTATGAACGCTTTGTTGATATTGACAAGGGGTCCCTCCGGAGTGGGGTAAAGAGAGCACCGCGGCAAGGGGTGATGCAAGGACATGCGAAAAGCTAACAGAGAAACGACAGCAGTAATCACGTACGCACATCTTCGTATCCAAGGATTCGCGGCAGGTCGGCGCTAGCTCATACGGAGTAATATTTTCCAACGGGTTTCTGGATTTGTTTTGGTTGAAAGCCCGCAGCCGCGCCGATCGATGTGAAGATATGTGCATCCAGACCTCCCGACCTTGGGCTCGGCGGTCTGCACGGAGATGTGTGCACTGCTCTGTATCTCTGCCGACACCGCCACGACGTACATTGATCGACCGTTGCTGGAAACTACATACATGGGGCTGCTCTCCTGCTCTATACGTACGTATAGTTCATTCAGAAGTCGGACATGGCCAGCAGAACGCACGACGAATGATTGTGCGGCGTTTTTCCTGGATTTTTCGTGGTTGAAGCCCCGCATGCCGCATGCATGTATGTCATATGTGTGTATTTTTTTGTTTGTTAGCATCGACCGCGCTAATGGGCTGACCAATGAAAAGGCGTCAGTCTTAGTGCGGTTGAAAACACAAAACACTCCTATCTGCCATGAACTGGGACGCCGTGAGGGGGCAGCATGGGGGAGGCTAAACTATCCTCCGGATCAAAGACAGAAACAGCAGCAACAGAAGAAAAGTGGACGCGTCTACCAAGGCTAGTACCTTGCACTCTAGTTCGTTTAGGAGTACTTTTACCATGATCATCCTTGTTTTCGCTGCCATCATTCTGATCCTCATTTTGACAAGAATCTCTGGGGAGTTTTTCCCTAGCCCTACGTTTTTTGTTTTGGGGAAGGTACTCTGGCTCAAACCCTTTGCTATTTTCCACTCCTCCATGTTTTCCTCCTCCATCGTCGTCTTTGTCCTCCTTTCTTACCTTTCCCTCTCCTTCGCCTCCGTCACTCCCAAAAGAATTACCCTCATTTACTATCGTTGTCGCAGAGATCCCAACCGGTTGGCCCTGGTGGAAGTTGGTCGATCAGTAGCCCATGACGTTTGAACACATCGCGAGTTCATATGTATGTATGTGTGTGCATTCCTCCGCCGTAGTGAGGTAAAGAGAGCACCGCGGCAAGGGGTGATGCAAGAACATGCATAAAGCAAGCATACTAATATCCTGCTCTATCTACCACAGCTGTGCACCAAGCAATAAACATGTTCGCGCAATTTTTGGGAGGTCGGCGCGAGCTTTCTCATCGGTACTGGCTGCTGTCAAGGAGATCCTCCTGCAGGAATTTGGGTATATATTCTCTGGATTTTTTATGGTCGAAAGCCCGCAGCCGCGCGGATGGATGGATGTGTATATGTACATCCCGACCTCCCGACCTCGGGCTCGGCGGTCTGCCCGGAGACGTGTGCACTGCTCTGCATCTCTGCTGACACCGCCACAACAAGCTTTTTCATCGATACTCTAAAGAGGTCCTTCTGGAGGATTTTGGCTGCGAAAAGAAGTAGTTTATGGATTCGTTGGGTTGAAAGCCCGCAGCCGATCGGATGGATGTGAATATATGTGCAGTGCATGTGCCGGCGTGCGGCCTCCTGACCTCGGGCTCGGCGGTCTGCACGGAGGTGTGTGCACTGCTCAGCATCTCTGCTGACACTGCCACGACATACACGTTGATTGCTCGACTGCTGCTGGAAACTGCATACCACTTGGGGCTGGCTCTGTGTGTAGTTCACTCAGCAGTCGGACTCAATCATGGCCTCGTGGCCATCATCAGTAGAGACGAATTGACTGAGCGGCGTCATCAAGCCGTGTTTTCCTGTTTTTCTCCACGCACACACACACACACTCGGAAAGGGCAACGAAGAACAAACTATTATGTGGTATACATGTGCGTTTACAGCGTGCGAACAGTATCAGGTAGTGACCGTAGCATCGTGATATTTCAAGAATCCGGTGGGGATGAGGCGAGATGAGACAGACAGCAGTCCATCTCCCCCATATGACAGATATGACAGACTTCAACAGAAAAAAAAAAAGAGCTGAAAATGCTTAGGCTACCGCCTTTCTGTATGTACGCTGGGAACGCTACTGCTGCTGTATTCTCTTTTTCCCACACGCACAAGCTTGCTCCACATCATCAGATCAGAAACAGCTTGTCACCGCGTACGTTTCTGGTTGAAGTTGACGTCTTCTGCCGGGCTGTTCGACACGACAGCCCGACTCTACCCGACAGCTGACGCGACAGGTGGACAGAATCAGTGCGTGGTCTTCTCACAGCCACAGGAAACATCTGGAGACTGTGAGGAAGACTTTACAAATCTATGTATAGTCTTATATTCAACCAAACAGAGCAGAGCGCTATGTCATCTTCGTTCATGATAAGTAGGTGAAACGTTTCAATGCCGTCTACCTTGGCAGTGCTGCTGTTCTGCATCCCACTCCGACCCCATTTTTTCTCCTGCAGCCATGTGACAAAAGCCAGGCCGCGGGTGTCATAAGAACACGAAAAGAACTCGTAGCATGTCCCAGCAGACGCGCCATTTTGTCATATGTCTCGACCACTACCAACGACAATAGGAACAATATTACACACACCTTGCATGTGATCATGTAGATTGTTGATGGGTTTATGAAAGTTTTCATGATGAGCACAACCTCGTGCTCTCGTCCTGCAGCACCTTACACCCCGGCCGCCGCCGGTTACGATTGTTGGAACGGGTTGTGCTCCCACGCGACTGAAAACTGTGGGGTGTTATGCAGGAGGAGACTGAAGGAGAGGGACTACCGCGTAGGTGACACGACACGAGATACCGCACCCCCTAGACCGAGTTTCAAAGCTCGATTACCCCACAGCATAGAGAGGCAGATCCGATAACGGCAGCGTTCCAGCCGTCTCGTCGATAGCTTTCCGAAAGCATACCGTTTCATTCTCCTCGTCGTGGAGTGATCGAGCCTTGGAAATCGGTCCAGGGGGTGTGGTATCTTGTGTCATGTCACCTACGGTAGGAGGTAGACACGAAAGAGCACAAACTGTTGAAGGAAACGGCAAGGGTCGCTTGACCCTCTTGCTTCGCGGTCGTGTAGAAATGAAAGTTGCTTGTTATTTGCTGAGAGAATGCCTGAACTGAAGTGCAGCTTCAGGTGCAGCTCAGGGGGCGCGCAGAGCAGGCAATTCTGATGTGGCATGGGCACTATGGAGGTACGTGCACCTCCTGGCTATCCCGCATCATATCGTCCATTTAACATACACCCTATTCATGCCAACAGCAACACGAAGTGCACATCGCCAAGAGAGCACAATCATCTGATGTATTGCAAGGGACGAATGCGAATAGCAGTGCACCAGGCTTCAGTTAGATATCATGACAATCACACCTGGAAAGGAGAAAAATTGCAAGCGGTTGTTACAGGCGCCACTTTTTTATAATCTCACGGCGCCTCACTTTATAGCCGTCCTGTCCGGTCAGCCATCGCCTAAGCAGGCGCCCCTGGATTTCTCGGCAAACCAAGTGTTTTTTTTCTTGTTTCATGAGTGTTGTCTCTGTCCCTCCCTTGGTCAGCAACCCCTCGGCTAGCACACCAGCAGCAGGGGTGGTCTGAAATCCGATAGGCTCAGTCGAAAACCGATAGCACATGTCATATGCGTACGACCTGCACACCATTTTCCCGTTCTACGCAGCACAGGAAGCCGTATTGCACGCTCCACGATCACGAACGATCAGGAGACGGTATGATTACTGAGAGTGTAGCGCCGCCATTTTCGACCGGGCCTCTCACCTGCCTTGCCTCGGTATTGGTAGAAGGTGTGTCGAAAGTCGAAAGTCGAAAGTCGAAAGTCGAAAGCAGATTTATTCGGAGACTATAGGTTTTTGGTGGTTACCGGGAGTGTAGCGCCGCCAAAATCGACCCATCCATCCTCTCTCGTGCCTCCGGGCTGTACGCGTGTCAAAAATATAGGTTTATTCGGCGCCGGGCTCGGTCGGGCTCACTCCGATTGAGATTGAGGAGCAAACACAGGAGTGGAAAGGCGAAGAAGAAGAAGAAGGTAGATTGCATCCTCAAGTTCCTTGGGGCGATACTCCCGCATCCTGACTGCCCTTGCCAAGATCGCCGACTAGCTGCTGGACGAAGAGCGATCGCGGAAGGGGCAGTGAACGAACGGCGGACGCGTGACATGAGTGTACCATGTTTAAAAAATCCCGGTTTCTTTTGCTCCGTGGCTCGATTTATAAGCAAGGTCGGTACCCCCCCACCCGCCCTTGGATGGTAGGAATGGTAGCGGTGGTAGGTGGTGCATGTGTTCCTTCGACATGAGGTAGATAGTTCCCTCCGTTTTTTTCAGGGTGAGGTGCGAAAGGGTATTTCAAGTTACGATAGACCAATCCTTCTCCCTCCTACGTGTGTATTGTGTTGAGTACCATTGCATCGGGGGGTGGCATCACCGTTTACTCGCGGAAATTGTTCATAAAACCGGTTAAGAGTTGTGCATGGCTTCGCCATCGTAAGATTTAGGAAAGAGGGGTATTTTATTACGGGCGTTGGGTTGTATGTGGTACCAGAAGGACTAGGAAACGGGTGTGACTTTGCCGTTTATCTTGCTGCCTGCGTTGCGCATGAAGCGGCTAAACTCTCGACAGGGGGGGGCGCGAGAGGACGTGCCGGGTGGGAGGTTGGAACCCTTCGGTGCCAACGTGGTCAGTGATACTTGTACAGGCGACGGGGTTTGTCGGCTCAGTTTGGTGTGTGGTCCGGTCCGTCTTGTGGGAGTAGGTTGTAGCTTCGGGAACGCCAAGAGGAAGACGGCCTCTCTCTACTCGGGTGTCTCTGACAGAAGTACAATGTCTGACAGAAGTACAGTGTCTCCGGCTGAAGTGCAATAGAATAGATAGTGGGGGTCCCCGAATAAAGCGGTCTGAACAAGACCGTCGGCCTATATCAGGCGGGTGAACTTGGCTGGCAAAGACAGAACAATCAAGTTGTTCTACACATTGAAGAAGGCGACCGCCCCATATAAGGCTGTCACTACCAGCTAGCCGCCCCACCGCCTTGTTCATGGACCCCCAAAGTGTTGTAGCTCTCGCGTCCCCCCCCCAAGGTTTGCGCCTCAAGTTTGTTGGTGGCTTGGTGACCTGTCAATTTGGCTGGGTAAAATACCATAGGGTTTCGTGATGATGTCAGGCACGTTTGGTTGGTTGGCTCCAAGTCCGCGGTACGATCTATGTTGGCTCCACGTGTTCGCCGCTCGCTTAAATCCATTGGAATTGTTATGGGGCTTCGGTTCGTTTCATGGATAAGGGTTAGGGCTAGGGTAACCCTAGCCCGTTCCGAAAGTCTTCCCGCCGGGGTGCATGGTTTTTACGAGCCTGCGCTTTCGGGATATATACCTGTCCCGATCGCTTGCCTTGTAGGATTTTTTTGCGTCCCGTATCTCGCCTTCCTCGGGGTAGGGTGTCTACACGTGTATGAGACGCACGCGCCCCAGCGGCAAGCACTCCCACCCCCCCACACAACAGACCATCATCGCCTTTAGAAGCATGTTGTGTTTTCAACCGCCGTGAGACTGACATCTTTTCATTGGTCAGCCGGTTAACGCGGTCGATGTTAATAAGAAAAAGAACTGCACACACACAAACTTTGCACCAAGTCCATTCTTGTAGATGTCGCAGTCGTTGCCCCATCTGCGAGTCGAAGTATCTACAAGTCGATCCAAACGCCAGGATCCTCCCTCGAAGGTCGAGCTGTAAGTAAAGCAAATCACTATGCGGGGGGACTTACTGCTGCTTTCTCAACGTATGGTGGTCTTGGGCAAAGGCACCAATCGACTAATCGTAGTTATCGCCACGGCATATGAAGCCTTTTGCAGGAGGAATTGCGACGACGAAACGACCTTGCTTCGCCTGAAGGCTTGTTATGCCACAGGATTCGGAGACGGTTTACCTTCGAGCTGGCTCATTTTCTGTCGGTACGAACTCGTGATGTTTTCAAACCTCATGGTGTGCTTCACTATCGCCGTCGTCTCTGCCGCCCTCCCCTTGTTCTTTGTTGGAGAGCGACCGCATGTGATAGGACAGAGGCCTCTGTCTGTCCAGACTGTGCACTTCTTCCTTGGAACGTTTTTTTCCGCGCGGATCGTATACTTCTACTCAGGTATCCATAGGCCTTGGTGGTGTAGTACTCTGCACGCGACACAAGCCTTCGCGCGACCATAGTGGATCAACTCTGTGTGTTGACAGAACGTAGAATGCGACATTCGATTTCTCCGCGCCGATTTCCACACGCACGAACGTTTGTCGTAGCGGGAAGGTTCGTGCATATCGCCACAGACAAACAACCGCAAAGGGTGGACTCGGCCGAAGGCATGTGTGCAGTTGACACGTGTCAGGCGAAGAGCCCACCCGGAGGTAAGCTATGTGCCTGCAAAGCTCCCGAAAAGTTGCTAATATGAAAGAAACACTTGCTTCTTCTGAATGTCACGACCGGCCAACAGATATCCGCCGGGCACGTTGCTGAGCAGCTGTCCCTCTTGTCCCTAATGAACAATTCAGTCTCTTTGGCGCACGCCGACTTTTACTTTGTGCGGTAGAGTCCGGTGACTACCGTAAATATATATACAAAAATGTACACATTAGAAGCAATATAAGACTGCTACACTCACATCCACGCTACCTACAACTCTGCCGCGACGTTAAAACCAAAAAAACGGGCTGGGCCATCCCACATGTAGCCAAACACACTGAACCTGTCACTGGAGGGGACATCCCTCCTCGGCATGAACCAGCCGCCCTCTGGTCTACTCTGGAGGCGACGACGCTTGAGCACAGAACAATATCAACAATAACAGAAATATATTCACATCAGTACCTTACATATCACGATGGCCGTTTCTTGCCGACAGGCCCCCTTTGCGCAGCTAAACCGCCTGACGCATTTAGGGGTCGAAGATTCGACGGAATACGAAATACGGAACCGAAAGCGTCCCGCGAGATAGATAATAAACTTTTCAAAAATTTTCTCACGCGAGCCCTCCCAAGGGAGACAGACTTGAGCGCCTCGTACCACAAGTTCACTATATTACGATGCAGTAGTATCGGTATCAGTAGGAGTTCCGCCGAGAGTGTTGGTACAGACAAACGCTTGATAGATCACAAGTCTCCGACAAGTATTGCTACAGCTATAGTACAAGCCCTCGTCCGCTGTTGCTTCAACTTGAACCCTTTACAACTTATGCACACAGATTCTCACATGCCGTGGTGAAAACCGCACACCACGATGATGATGGTACCTCGCTTGACGCATGAGCCAAAGAACCATCCCCACATTTCACCCCACCCTCTCTCTCTCGTCGTCCAATCAGCGTGTCCTTCCCCACTCTTCAATCTTGCCGTTGCGGCATACGTTTCCGTCAGAACTACCCACACCATCACCTCGTCAACGACTTAATCCTACCCGGCCAAACTGTGACCGCTGCTGGAGAGACTTCTGCAAGGCCCGACGTCTGTCGGGCGGCCTCGTCCGTAGAAGATGCTTCGCCACGGGTCAGGGGTCAGGGTGCCTGGCACCATGTGCTGGAAGTGCTCGCGGCGCATGGCTGCCTTGAGCATCGCCACGTCCTGTCTGGTTGGTGTCGGCGAGCGTTCTCCCGATTCTTCTGTCGTTTGCCCATCATCTTCTTCGTCTTTCACGAGAACAAGCTCCCCGCCCCCGTTAGCTTCAAGATCTAGGGTGTCAGGGGTGTGTTCTTCTTCACAGCACTTGTTTTCCAACTGAAAGACGAAGCCAAATAGTCAAGGGGCAGAGGGGAAGGAGAAATTGGTCAGAACCGGCATACGTTTTAGGGGTGAGGCAGTAGGGTACTGCAGTGGTTTATGTCGAGCCGCGGGCAACACTACACATTGATCGAGGTATCTGTGTGTGTTTTTTCTGAATGAAGCTGTTTGCAGGTTGGAAAGTTCTTCGCTTCAAAACTGCTTGTAGTGCGTGTTTTCTATTTTGCTCAATCGTGTCGGGGGCGCTAGAAAAGGCAGCAATATTCCATCGCAACAGCAACAGCAGTGCTGCTTTGCATTCAGACTTAAGCCTGAGTAGGAAGTGCAAACATTGACCCACAGACAACCTCCAGTCAGTGGCGCGCGGTCAAGTTGATATCTGCGTGCGCAGTTTAGTGTAGTCTAGGGCGTCGTGTGTTCGGCAGGCGGCAGCAGGTACATGCTAGAACGAACAAACCCACACATACCCACATCAGGCCGGTGGCTCTCTCCTAGGAGGACACGTTTTAACTACCACAGCAGCTGTTGGTGCCGCCCCCCTGATGCACAGCAGGCGTCTCGTGCCTCGCATTCTTTTTTGCGTTCGCGATTTTCCGCCGTCTTCCTTGTCGGACGTTCTCTTGTCGTGTAGGGCGCCAATCCGAATGCGTGACATGAAAATACAACTCATTCAAGTTCTTCAACTGTTGGACGTTGATCACTTCTGCTGTGTTGTGCAAAACGGCGAGCAAGGTAAGGGTTGATCCTGCTGCCGGCAACCCGTCGTTGTCGAGCGCGTGGTGGTGCAGACAATCCTACTGACCACATGATGAGCCTTCATTCAAGGAGGCGGGCCAACCGCCACGGAGTTCTTCCGCCTCCCGCGTGTCAGGTGTCAGCGAGTCTCGGTTGGGTCCCACACGCTTCGGGTGTGCGGTCGATCGATGTCCTTGAAGAAACACAACGCCGCAGGGTTAGATTGGTCCAAGTTCACCTCTCCCACCAGGTTCTCCAAGTTTGACTGCTGCAGTAAGTTCCGATCGCGACCCTCTTTTGTCGGGACCCGACTCACCTCCTTCATGACGTTATTCATACGTCCGAGGTTCCACACAAGCACCACAAGGGCGCATGTCCCCACCACAACTCCAGCGTCAAGGACCATGGTGCTGTAGCTTCAATTTCCTCCTCTGTCTCCTCTCCAAAACCTCCTTGCTGCCCGCGGCGCGCTCTCTCCGCCGAGAGGTGTGTTGAGAAGCGATCTCGACAACTCCTAGCTATTTAGATGTTCTCACCCCGTGAATGATGCTTCAAGGCCGTTAACTTTGACCGAGCGAGGCAGGTGCCGTAGCACGCCCCACCTCTCGCAGTGGTTGATGTCACCAATCGCAGTAGTAGCAGGGGTTTGAAATTTTGCAGTGACCGTGAGGGGAAGGAGGAAGAAGGAGGGCCAAGTGCTTGCTGCTCAAGTTCCCAATTCTCAGCCCAACGAAATTGTGGAAATTTCTCCAAGAGAGTCCCGCAGTTTTTCCGGAATGTGGAAGATGCAGGGTTTGTTTGGCGGTTCGGGAAACGTGTATGCGGCATGATCTCACCGACGGCCTTCAGCAGTCCTACAAGCACGCACGACTGCTGTGCTGTTTACACATACTACCACGGACCACACGATGCCGTCTGACCTTCTCTCGACGCTATCTACTCTCGTATTTTGCTGTGCATATAGGCGGTGTGGGGGTAGGTGGAATAATACATGTAGTCGACAGCAGCACACGGAGGGATCTTCGCGATTGGCCTCCCCCATACCAGAAATTCCCGCGGCCGCTGAACTGTGGCGACAGAGGGGAAGCAGACAGACAGCTTCCTTCACCCTGTCCCAGCAGGAGACAACAACCCTTCTTCTCTTCTCTGTTTCCCACAGCAAGTCTCAGGGAACGCAGCACGAGCAAAAAAACACGATCTCATCAGCCTCACGACAGGAACCATGCTGTGCGTTGAGGCGCAAGAATGCATGCGTTCCTTCCCCCGTGCGCAGACGACGTGTGTGTGTCTCTCTCGATATATTCGATCAACCGTGGGCGTGTGTGTGTCCTGCTGTCGGAGATACAAAATGTGATTTGTGTGTGTACAATAACGCAAACGGCAGAAGTGGGGCGAGGTCGAAAAAAATCCGGGAGAAGAGCCAGAATAAACCGACCACAGAGTCGAACTTCGCACGACGGATTGCTGCTGCTGCCGCTGCTGCTGCTTTTGCTCCCTGTGGTTTGAATCAATCAGTACACCAGATAGAGAGCAGTGGTAGGATGCCATGTCCTAGCAGTTTTCAGCTCAAAAGGAGGATCGATCTTCGTGAGCGCTCCAGGCAAGACGTGGTTCCTTTATAATGGCTCCCTGTCGGGTACCGCAAAGCAGCCTCCGGGCATGTTTGACGAAGTAGCCGGCCCGGTGATCTCAATTCCACGTTTGTTTGCACGTGTTTCTTGCTCCAGAGAAAGTAGCAAATGGCGGAACGGCGGCTGGCGTTCTTCCTAGAAATCCGAAAAGACGCGGGAGGATGGGTTTGAACCCACGATGAGGAATTCCCACATGTATCCACTCAACGGAACCAACGGGAAACCGCCAAATATTCGATATGTGCTCTGATGAGGGAGACGAGTTGGAAAGGTGTCTGCTTTGCAAGTTGGAAAAGGTTTCGCTTTGCAACCTGCGCAAGCTAGCGTAGACCCTGGCAGGGCTATGAACCCAAGAGGCGGACGAAAACGAACTACAGGGGAAGGGGTACACCCACCACATGGTTAAAGCGAACCCTTCTCTCAACCGGAAACGCCCCCCGCTCGCGAACCGTCCACGTCCACCTCACGGTGGACTCTTTCCGTGCAGCACAATCAACTGTGTTACATCCTACTTTTAGCCGTCAATAGGAACAAGCGACACAACACAAAACACGGGCCATCACTTCATACCCCAACCAACACGAGATAGTCTAATCCTCTACGCGGATCCCCACGCCCCCCATACCCTAAAACACATCACGCGACAGAAAACACGAAAGCAAGAGGTGATAGCCTATCTCCCACCCAAAAGCACATCAGCCCCCACTGCGATCTGCCACAGGTCAAGATTGCCCACTAAAGAGCAAAAAAAAAACGTGTGTCCCCTCCCCAATCGAAACCATTTTCTCTCTCCGCTAACACGAATCGTACACATCCGCCACCTCGCAGTGGACACCTTTCGCGCAACACAATGACATGGCTACTGTATTTCAGCCATGCAAAGGGAAAGAGGAAAGTCGATTAAACAGACAAAATACATCATGTGAGATATCCCGACAAAGAACAATCCCCAACGCGGAACTCCCTCTCCCCAGCATATCACAAGATGCACTTACAAAGAATGACACAACAGCAAACTCGAAAGCTCCCAGCCAAAAGTACACCAGCCCACACTCGATCTGCCACAGGCTATGTGAAAGGGCAAAACCGCTGGGAATAAAACATACCGAGTTTTTCGGGTCCATCAATCGAAAACACTCCATTCATGGACCGAGGACCGTACGCCCCTCCCCCCCCCCCGCCCCCCTCCAAATAGTACCTGCCTATCAACCATTCAGATTCGTTCGAAAGCATCGATTAGAGCTTCGTAAACCATGTGACTACAGAAATGCTGCTCCTGGCACATTCTTAAGTCTAGGTCTGGAACGTAGTCACCTTAGAAGCGTTTTCCACCTCAAAGACCTGTACAGTTGAAGGAACTCCGACCCCATCTAGGTTGGAATCTTCAAGTAAGACTAGCTCACGAAGGCCCTTCGGCCAGTCGATCCCGCGAGAAGGCTATCGTATCCTAAGTCATCTTCAAATTGGTAATCAAGAAGACGCAATGTTTCCAGGTTGGGCATCCACGTGCTCAGTCCTTGCAGTGACTGCCTGAACATATGGCCCAGTGTGAGTCGCTCCAGCGACGCAGGCCAAACTCTCCTACCGATACGCTGGTTGAAGTCCCCGAACACCACCACCTGGTTTTCCCCGTAAATTCTTACCATCCAAATGTAAGCTCTTGCAATGCTGTCGGCCACTCGACATTCTCAATTGGCTGGTTAAACCGGTTTCCGAACTCGAGCCTCTGAAGCGAATCTGGCCATAACACGTTCTCAATGAGCTGTTTGAACTGTGCGCCGAAAGCAAGCTCCTCGACGGATGCCGGAAAGGTACAGCAGTCGATCCGCTGATTGAATCCGTTGCCGAACCAAAGCTGTCGCATGGACCGCGGCCACGCGACATCTTTTATGGGCTGGTTGAAGTCTTCCACGAAGGTGCGCTGCAGTGCCGGAAACTTGGCCCGTTGGATCGGCTGGGTACAGTAACTGGCGAATATCAGCTGCTGCAGCGATGCCGGAAATTCAACTCCTTCGACCGGCTGGTTATTCCCGTCGCCAAACCGGAGCTGTCGCAAGAATGGCGGCCAAGCGACATCTCTTATGGGCTGGTTGAATTCGCCCGCGAAGGTGAGCTGCGCCAGCGATGTCGGAAACTTGGCCCGTGCGATCGGCTGGTTGGAACACCATCCAAAGCAAAGCTGCTGCAGTGATGGCGGAAATTCAACCTCCTCGAACGATTGGTTGAACGTTCCGCCAAACTGGAGCTGTCTCAAGAACGGCGGCCAAGCGACGTCTTTTATGGGCTGGTTGAAATCGCCTACAAGTGCGAATGTGAGCTCCTGCAGCGATGCCGGAAGCTCGGCCGGCGCGATCGGTTGGTTAAAGTGTCTTCCGAATGAAAGCTGCTGCAAGGAGGTCGGCCACATCACGCGCCCCATGGGTTGGTTGAAATCCCAGTCGGTGTGGAACGAGAGCTCCTTCAGCGATGCCGGAAGCTTGGCCCGCTCGATTGGCTGGTTGAAATGCCATCCAAAGCAAAGCTGCTGCAGGCACGGCGGCCACGTGTCATCTTCTACGAGCTGGTTGAATTGTGTGCCGAACGAAACCTGCTGCAAGGACGGCGGCCACGCGACATCTTCTATGGGATGGTTAAACCTTTCGAAGGTAAGCTGCCGCAGCGATGCCAGAATCTTGGCCCGCTTGATCGGCTGGTTGAAATGCCATCCAAAGCTAAGCTGCTGAAGGGACGGCGGCCACGCGGCATCTTCTACGAGCTGGTTGAACTGGCTGCCGAACGAAAGCTGCTGTAAGGACGTCGGCCACGCGACATCTTCTGTGGGATGGTTAAATCCTTCGAAGGTGAGCTGCCGCAGCGATGCCGAAGGCTTGGCCCGCTTGATCGGCTGGTTGAAATGCCATCCAAAGCTAAGCTGCTGAAGGGACGGCGGCCACGCGGCATCTTCTACGGGCTGGTTGAATTGACTGCCAAACGAAAGCTGCTGTAGGGACGTCGGCCACGCCACCCGCCCGATGGGTTGGTTGAAATCCGACTCGGTGTGGGACGATAGATCCTTCAATACCGGAAATTTGGCCTGTTCAATCGGCGGGTTGAATTCTTTGCCAAACCGGAGCTGTCGCAGGGACGGCGGTCGCGTGACATCGTTTACGGACTGGTTAAAACAAAAACCAAATACATGCCGGAAACTGGACAAGTTCGACCGGCTTGTTGAAATAAAAACCAAATACAACGTTCTTTAGCGATGCTGGCCATTCTACCAGATGGATAGGCTCGTTGAACCGTGAATCACAGTGAAACTCGATCGTTCTGCCGTGGCCATGCCACAGCCTCAATGCTGCCTCGAAATGCATCGCCGAACTTCACGCAGTCCACGTCCGAACATGCAGAGATCGGGTTTTGCCATTCCGCTGCTGTCTGCATGTTCCACATCACGCGGCGCGCTCTTAGCCGTGGCACGCGCGTCCAACCCAGCCGCTTCGGTTGCGGTGGTGGGGCATCTGCAGCGGCCAGCAGCCTATGAGGGGCTGTTGCGTCGGCTTCCAAGTGCAAGGTCTGGTAGGTTCTGCACGCGATGCAGAAGTCCAAGGACGCTAACTGCAGATCCTAGGTCGACGGGTACCAACTCTTCCCGTCGTACGTCTCGTTCAAAGCAACCGTCTGGTTCAAAGAAACCGTGAGGGCGTTGAAGCACGAGTTCCAGGTGGGTCCTGCGAATAAAACACGGTGGATGGGCGAATACATGAAATCAGGGTACATAAAATGGCGAGGTGGAAATACTTTGGGTGCACGGAACTAGAATCCAGAGAGACCCCAACGAACAAGAGGAAAACACGGTAAATTGCCAACACCCCCAAGAACAATACAACACCAAAACAAGCGCGGTCAATGGAGGCATTGAGGCTGTCCCCTACGCCGTTCCTTGCATCAATACACCCACAGTCAATATTTCGCTCGGAGGTTGCAAACGGGAATCAAAGTGCCGGGAAAGTCGTAATCGAGCTGAGGCACGAATTGTGTAAAGATATTCA